TATTTATCAAAACCCTGACAGTATGTCAGCAGAATACACCGAAAGTCGCAAAACACCTCTAAAAACCCACTCGGGGGTGAATCACACCTGGATAAATGTGATCAAACATCTTTCATAAATATGGCTTATGGCGCTAGAAATGATGCGACGCACTGTACCTAAACTTGGAATGAAAGAAAAATGTGTGGGATGTTCTGTAAACTTTGAAAATTTACTCTACTGTTCTCAGAAGATTTTATGTGCATGAAACATTTATCAATTGTCGTTAAACTGATACCACCGCATCTGCCTGGAGGCAATCGTGAGCCGGTATGAATCGTGGGTGGATTAGCTCGAAGGTCACGTGATAGAATACCGCCTCACGACTAGAATCTTTCTACTCCATCAGGTCATATTACCTGCAGACCGTGAGTGGAGTTGCTTCGGCCTTCCTCGGAAATTCTAAGAGTATAACTGTATACGACAAAATAAATTAACCTAAATACAGACTGACGGAAATCAAACAAGAATCACCTCACATTTACCAAACTCCTATTTGATGAGTAGTGAGGGCATAACACTGCGGATGTGCTTACAGTGACTCTGATTTATTTATTGACGTCACCATTAGCTTATCTAGGACATAAAATGGGTTGCACTCGATTGAAGGGTTAAAGTAGCTCGGATGGATTTAGTTCTGTGTTCCTCCTATCTGAACGTGCATCATAAACCCGTAATTAGTTGCCTGTGGGCATGTTCTCCAACCATAAACTGGCCTTTAAGTGATTGATTGTGTGTGAAGTTCAAGACCGTGTAATTTATGAATATTCGAAACTCAGTGAATTAAATGATTTTTGTGTAGCCCGTTCAAAATAATCTTTCGCTGTGAGACCAAACTGAGTTCATCAACCGTATCAGTAGTTCGATGATGTAATACGCAAATCGTGTGGATTCTTCCCCGTATACACGACAGGAAAATAACCCCAATTTACAAGCCAGGGTCTTGTGGGCAAGAATACAAAATGACTATAATGTAGCGATTTAACCTCACAATACCCAGATATTTCTAGGGACCATATTCGCCTCTGATTCTATCGAACACGCTGTGGTTTCTGAAATACGGGAAAGAAACGTGAATCTTTCCACACTGGTAAATTGGTTACTCTGAATGTATATAAATCTGTGTGGATTATTGAAGTATTATTCAAGATATTCTTGTTCCGTATTGCTCTTTAAACAACATAAGGAAAAAACGAATGTCGATGACTGAAGTATAAATAAAACTTATGCTCCTTTTCTATGCTTCGTCTTGACAATTTCATAGGAAACTACTCTATGAGGTTATTTCAAGCGAAACTTCATTGAACCATTAGAGAAAATCTCGTGAGTGATCCAGTATTTTGGGAATACCAGTTCGTTCAGATGTGAGTTGCGTTGTTCAACAAACCCATTAATATTTTCGAAGCCCACGTTACGATACACTTCATGTAATACTTTAAGGTGTTTTCGGCCGCAATAACCAGTGGTCAACCTTGATTTGGCGCAATGCAGCCTTTGTCGGCTACCCCAATCATAGCTTCAAAAAGCTCAACTTCTCTCCCCCCCCCCTCCTTCACATCCCACTCCGTAACCACTGAAAAATCTGAGGATACTGGGCACAGCGGAATTCGTTGTAAACATTACCAAAACGGATGCTACCTGTACACTTCCCTATTCAATCAGTCAACCAACCAACTAATATCAAGACAGGTTTGTACTTGTGAGTGGTCAATAGATCACATCCAATCACAGCGGCTCTTTTTCTTCGTGAAACGGTTGACGGATCCCCATTAAATCAGTACCTAACCCGCCGCCTACCTAAATGCAGAAATATCCACCATTTGAACAGGATTACTGGCTCCTGGTAATATGTTACAGAATCGAAACTGGTACCTTCTGCATTAGAGGAGGGTATTGGCACTCTCAGGATTAGACAATGTGTTTCAGTGCATTTACGGTCTATTCGGATATTAGTTATACGTCATGGGTTGCGAGCACCTGCTGAGGTTAGTGTAATCAACCTAATCAAAGATAGCAATTTTCTTTCTGGCTCTGCCTTGAAGACTGATGTTTTGATTTCCCATCCAAGTCGAATCATTTTATCTAATAATTATTTTATTACTACACATCTTAGACACCAAGCAGACCAGTTTAGGTTCAATTAACACTATTCTGTAGATTGCCAGTTCTGTCCTCGAACGATCGTGTTTTCAAATCTACCCAGGAGAACCAGACTGTTGAGAAGACCTATATGAACTGAAGATTTCCGACAACCAAATAGCACTTCAGTGCCATCCACTAATTGTTTATCTAGCGCTGTTCTTTTTGCCCTTCCCAACAGATATTGGTGACTTAAATTGAATTCACTCCTATTCCCTCAATCGCGACACATTTCATCGATCAACAACACATCAAAACTGAACTGAGCTCGAGTGATTGACGCACCTCGGATTGACAGCAACTGGTGTGGTCGAGAACACCTCATCCCCGTTCTCGGCTACTTCCGTTTTCGTCATGAATCCATCCCCGGACCAGTCTAGACCTACTCGGGGCTGAGAAACATAACCACTTTTCACACGGCGTTCCCACAACCGACGATTCTGTCCCCGGGATTCTCGTACCACTGGCATCATCGGGTGTGAGATTTTCCTCGGAGTCTTGGGCGTAGACGGAAGGGAATATTGAAAATTCGGTCCGGATGAAACCGAACGTCTGGTCGGTGTCGTAGCCACCGGATCACCGGCCTCGTAGGCGGCCAACTCTTTCATAATATCACTGATCCGTACCGAGCCATCAGCATCTGTGTCCAGACCATCGAACAGGGCACTAGCCAGTTCCGGGGATAAATTAATCGTGTCGTGGGAACACAATTTCACCCATTCTATTTTGTCCAAGCATCCGTTGCCGTCGATGTCATAGCTACGCATCAATTCGGTTAACGCCTCAGAGGCCATAATCCCGAATTTGTTTGCTCAGTCGGGCAAAGTCTGTGGCAAATGCGCGGATCAACAGCTGCGGGTCGTTGAGTAGACAATTCACACCAGACACTCAAACGGCGTGGTTGTGCACACAATTTTACCGATGACAATCACACTGACAGCATTTATTTGTGTGCTGTTTGTGTGAGGGTGCATGCGTGCGTGCAAATGGGCGGTCGGTCAGACGGGCGAATGTGCACACACACACACACACACACATGCACACAGTTGTAATAGTGACAACCTTTTCGGCAGTCGTTTAATGTGTGTGAAGGTGAACTACACACACAGACACACAAAGACACTTAAAAACCACGCCACCCTACACACGCACGCATCTACAAATTAGGCAACACTCACCATAAACCGCGTGACCTATTGCTTCTGAACGTATCACAATCCGCGTCGATCAGTCCTGTATGTCTGTCTATCGATCACACACTATACCAGGTACGGTGAAAGCTGCGGTACACTTTAGTGTATGCTCTTCTGCCTTCTTCAGCACTACGACTATAGACAGCTGAACAGGTAACCATCGTGTATCTGAAAAGCACAGACCAGTTGAAGCTCTGCAGCAGTAATGGTGACAGCATTCGAGCACCAGCTGACCTCATGATGTGCTATGTGCTCAGGTTTGAGCCGAAAGCTGAGCACATATGTCCACTCCACCCTAACCCAGAACAGATTAATGAGAACAATGTTGGTGGTTTGCACAGAAATTGGCAATGGATATATATATGGCTACTGAAATTTGACAGGGGAAGCTGAACAGCAACCCAAGGAGTTAAGTGAAATGTGACAAGACCATTGAAATGTCTTTATGGAGTTACAGTCTGCCCCCTTATTGGTACTGGAACATAGGATCAAGGAAAACAGAGAATAACTAGCTATCGTTTTCAATCGCAGATTAACAAAACTACTCTGGCTAAATCCGTATATCAATACAAATAAAGGCATTTCAAGAAATACTAGAAACTCTAACCTTCAAATCTCTTTTGGTGATATAATCTGGGTTAGTCACTGCCGAACCGTCAATGAAATCCCTCTGAAAACTACGGAATGGGGAACACAGGATCTTACTATCACATATTCAATGACCCACAGCGATACTCGTTTGAGCTATCCCTACACATACACATTTGGCTGTCCTCCTACTGGTATCCCTTTCCCATCCTGCCAAAACACGCAAACGCAAACCTAATTTATAAAAATATTATCGAATTTTACTATCTACTTTTCCAATATAGGAGTTCCCCAACTCATCACTCATGCATACATTTTTTTCATGCATTGCTTTTTTACAAATTATTGCTGTTCTGTTTCTACTGTTTTATTCTGTCCACTAACTCCTTTAGTGAATTCCCCGCTTTAAAGTATTGCTCCCGTTTGACTCCACATGCACAAATCGGTTCTGAACCGAGTTCACTAACCCTCTCGCATCTTCACCTTCTCATAGCAGCTGACTAAAATGATGAGTGAGTAATCGACAGACCGATGTAAGATATGATCGTTTAACACTGTGCTGTCAGTGATCAGGTGCTCGATTTACCTGCTATGCCCTTGAGTTAGGTCGGTTGACGTTTTCGCGGGCCAGTCAAGTCATTGTCATCAGTGGTCTATTGGAAGAGGCTTACTGAATTTGAGAAATTCAGAATCGATACTTTTCGTGAAATTAATTTCAGCACGTACGAGGTGGCCGTTTTGTTGCATTTGATTCGTCTTCATAACGATATTTTAAGAATTGCAGAAACGTTCGAGCTGTGTCTTTTATTTGGGGGGGGGGGTGGCAGGAAAACTTCGAGAAGATCAGATCTCCAATCGTCTAAACATGTGCAGCCGGTCACGGATAATATAGTATCCAAACAGATCTACCGGAGTTGAGATGTGATGGAGATATAGTCTGAAGCAGTCACCACCCTGTCTTAAGTATTTTACTTCAACCTGTAGTCCATTTGTACAACTCGTCACGGAGATTGGTGCAATCGGCTATCTGTAGTATTGTTTCACTTCAAGCAAATCTGTACATCTCTGACCATGTTCATTCATTGGATTCCTCTGTAATTTTGGAGATAAAATAAAAACCATGTGATTAATGAAAACAAGAAAGTATCCATCCAATCAAATTAGGCGCATATTTTGTCAGCGCTATACAAGCTTCCAGTAACAGCTCCGAATGTTTACTGGTAATTGATTTTTCATTTCACCTTAGTCGCTGACGTCTCATAGATAAAAAAAACGATTCCACTTTGAATCAGAATGGCAGTGCTTGCGGAAAACATTGTCCTTCTCACTCCTTTCAGATCATGTTCAACGGAATACCTTTCATCTCATCCCTGATACAATTCTGATCTTCATACTTCGAGCATTTGATCGTGGTCGTATAACTGTTTTCTCCTCCGTCAGCTCCGTCATACGCTTGATTTAAATTTTCCGATTTCCTTGCCTATGAAGTGTCTGGAGCGTAATCAGTGCATCAGTTGGACCATGTGGCTCGCAGTGCCACCCCGTACCCACAAACTGCCTATATTTTATAAAACACCAATGAAAACTCAATTACTAATACATGTATTTTGTTCCCCGAAATAAAAGAGACGTGACACGTATAAACTAAATATTTTATTAATCAGCCAATGAAGTCGAGTATCAATAGTCCCCATTGAGGCCACAAACTCGGGATAAAATTGACCTCCTTCTTAAAAAGTAATTAAATCACCGTAAAACTGGTTGTACAATCCAAGTGAAGTGGTCTTACTCACTCGCGTACTGCTAATTATATGATTAAAAAATGATCTAATTGTCGAAGTTACCTAGGCAAACTCATACAACCTGTAAAATCTGCCATGGAGTATTCGATTTTGTTGATCAAGATGGCTTTGCCATCACCCGGTTCACTAGCACAACTGATCTACTGAAACCGTATGTGGTCGGCCACTCCAATTCTCAGGATCATGTTTGTTGGTTTCTTTCCCATAATATGAATATGGCAATACAGATTCACTCACGTTCTCGCTCTCCCTCTGCTCAGTCGCAAAGCAAAGCATGAACTCATCAACCTAACCAACATTCGTGAACCGAACCGCAACATGAATTCTGTACACTAATTTCTCCATTCTTTTTATACTCTCGACCAATTTTTAACCGAAACATAACTTCCTCCCCCCTCGTCAGACAGAACCCACCTTCAAGCACCCAAACCTTCAAGCACTTTCCAGTCCTCCCCTCATCCCAAAGCTGTTGTCCGCATATTTATCCACCAATCATTCGCCGCCTCCAAAATACCAACTTTGAACTTTTCTAATCGTGAATTTCAGTCGATTTGGCTGAAGCCTCAATTTTCTTTCAATCATTACCTTTTTGTCCCCAAACATTGCAGAGTTCTCCGTATCGGAATTTTATCTTCTAACATTGGACACTTGTTTGCAATAGACCCCAACTACCATGTTGTCATCTTGGAAGATGTTAGCGTTCATCATCAGGAATAACTGATACATTCTTTGGTTGATGCCTCTTTGGGGCTCGAAGTCGAACATTTTGCCTTGGTCAACAACCTGAGCCAACTAGTTGACCTCCCTATTCGCCTCCCTGATCGAGCTGGCCACCGGGCCAATCTAATTCTCACTTCAGTCCTTCCTTTTTCATTTCCCTGGTAACCTTTTCCTAGTTCCCGTTAGCACTGGTAAAATCCTGTACGGGTAGTATTCCATCTATTGACCTAAAAATGTGCTACCGAGTTGGATACTGTTTTTACGTCATCTTTTCTCTCTTTCCCTCCGAATTTCAACTTTTCCAACTCATTCGAAACACACCGTGGTTTTCCCATTCCCAAAACCGTGGTGGCCCTTCTAATCCCAACAATCACTGACCGAATTCCCTTACATCCGTCCTTTAGCAAGTATTCGAATCCGTCATCTCCGACCAACTGCATGGGTTCCACGAACCTGAAGGACTACTGAGTAACCTTTAGAATGGCTTCGGACAGGGTCGTTCTATCGGTGACCTGCAGAGTCTTGTGTTGTCAGCTGCACTCAATAACCACAGAGAAAGACATTTGGTTGCATTTGATCTCTCGAAACTCTGCGACGGAGTTTTGCACGAAGGACAACCGGATTCCCTCTGGCTCTCGTATTGTGAACATCAGGCGTTTTCCGCAGACAAACCATCTTCGAAAGAAATTTGAGCGGTTCTGTCTCAGCCGTACCCTGTGAATCCTAGCGTTCCCCAGGTTAGCACTGCAGTCCACTCTCTTTCGTTTATCTTTCAATAATCTCAACTCATTCCATTCTTTTACCAATGATACCATTCTCCATTGCTCTCTCTCTATAACCACGCCATTTGCCATACTAAAACCAACAACAATCAAAATCGTTACGCAGTCAATGTGTCACCAGACTAGAATCTTGAACACATCTTGTGCGGGGGGAATGACGGCCATTTTGCCTTCAGTGCTTCCAAAACACACCCTCTTTCGGATTTTCTGAAACACCATTCATTTTTTCCTCACATCCTTTGGTCCCACCCAACTGTGTTCCACCTACTCTGTATCTTTTATTAGATTGCCGAAAACTTCCCTAAGCTGTTTCCTCTTTAAATCTTAGCTTCTCGTGCTGCTGCTGTTTTCTATTCCACACCAGACACTTCTTTACCCCAGCTCATTTACTGTACCAAGCTCAAATCCTTCGTGCATTTGACTATTACAATGACGTGCGGGAGTGGGGCTTGTGTTCCTCTCTTTCCCTACTTGATCATGTTCAATGAAAGCCAACCTAACTGATGGATGCTCCTTCTGCAACTTCCATTCTTCAGTCACCAGCCAACCACTCTTTCTGCTCCGTTGCGTCTTTGTTTTTTTTTTGAAGCTTGCCTCGGTAGTTCCCCTTCCTTCCTATAACGTTTGTACGACCATCCCGTACACAGATATCCGGCAATGAGATTTTGGTCTTTAGACGTGATACTTTTTTGCTTTACTTTTCTTTGTT